CTTTGTCCACACTGAATCTGTGAAATATGCACAAATCACATCCTTCCTCCAGCCAGCTGCCACCTTATTTAGGTTTTAGGTGCTGTGTAGATAAGTCCTCCTTCCAGCTTTACAAATCAGTTGTTCTTTGTCTAATGCAGAGCTTTCCAAGCGAGAGACAGGAATAATAATAGTAAACACAAGGAGAATAACTCAAATAACATCATAAAATGTCCTAAGTAAAGATAAAATAAAGAAGGCCAAAACTAAAATCAATAAGATAGCAATAAAATAGACAAACAGCTCAGATTAAATCAGGATATGCTTTCCAATAGAAGTACGTTTTTAGGAGAGACTTAAACAAAGCCAGTGACTCAGACAGCCTAATATCCTCGGGCAGGTCGTTCCAGAGCCTCGGGGCCATGATTGCAAAAGCTCTGTCCCCTATGGTCCTCAGCCTGGACTCTGGAACAAGCAGAAGACCTCTGCCCGAGGATCTCAAACTACGCAGAGGTTCATAAGGGACTAACTGGTCTGAAATGTAATCTGGAGCCAGTCCATGAAGAGCCTTAAAAGTAATCCATAAGATTTTAAAGTCAATCCTGAATCAAACAGGGAGCCAATGTAAAGAGGCTGAAACTGGTGTGATGTGGTCGTGCTTCTTGGTTTTGGTTAAAAGCCTCGTGGGTGAGTTCTGAACAATCTGAAGTTGTTGCAAGGTTTTTTGATTAAGAAAGGAATAAAGGCTGTTGCAATAATCAAGACACGGAGAGATAAAAGCATGTGCAACAGTTTGTGTATCTCTAAAAGTTAAAAAAGATCTTAAATGAATAGAATGAATAGAAAGAGGGCATCAGTGCTGCATTGCCCATTGCCAACTCTGACATTCCTATAGAAGACAATCAAACTAACTTTGTCACTGATGCTCACTTGTGTCACATTCAGTTCTAACACAGTGTTAGAGCAAATAAATCACAAACAAATAAAGTAATCTCTTCAAGTAATCTATTTTTAAAGATAGTGACAGCATTCAGAATACCACCACTTTAAACTGTAACTAGTGAAAAACGGTGACACGTACTTTGTGTTTTAAATACAATTCTATAAGATACTAGGAGCCAGTGTAGGTTATGTAAAACAGGAGTAATGTGGTCTCTCTTTTGAGTTTTTGTTAAAACCCTGGCAGCAGCATTGTGAATGGTCTGCAGTTTTGCAATGGCGGTTTTAGGTAGGCCAGTGTATAGAGCATTACACTAGTCAAGACGACTGGAAAGCATGGATAAACTTCTCAGCATATTGCCGGCTCAGTGGAGATCGTACCATAGCTATATTGCGTAAATGATGAAATGCAGTTTTTGTTAACGAATTAAAATGAACTTTAAAATTGAGATCACAATAAAAAAAATCACTCTGAGGTCGTGTCTGTGTGACCAGATGGACGTAGACCTACCTCTAGAGCCAGGATTCTTTGTACTGAGAGACACTCCAGAGGATAAAGACACTAAAAACCAGACGTATCTGCTTGGGGTGCTGCTGTTGATTGCAAAAAAAAAAAGATATGCATATAAGAATAGGTTATTTGGGTGCCTGTGTCTGTGTTGCCTCTGTATATTATATGATCAAGATAGGTTTTAATGCAAAGCTTACATTTGTTATGTGATACACCATATTTGTTTGTTCTCTGACATATGCATGACTACATTTGATTGAATTTGAAGATAGAATCAAGTGCAAAAAATAGCCAACAGAGACATGTATAATGAATATAGCTAGTTATTTTTTATTATTAATTAACTATAGCTAGTTATTTTTATTGCTTTTTTATTTTTTAATTGATTTTAGGATCAATCTGCCAAATGTGCCCCACAGAGGCTGACATTTGGTGATGTCTGACCTTTCCACCGCTGCATAAACAAGGTTGTGTTGGTGACAATGTGCTACTGTCTAGTTTATCATTACAACGTCCTCACAAATAAGCTGGTTGAAGAAGCAAGTGCAAACACCAACGTCACCGCATCACTTTTTGCGAGCAGGAAACGTCAGTGTCTTTGATATCCAGGGATCGTGAAGGGGAAAGTTTCATTGTGATTCTGTTGACAAGAGATAGAAAGCCAGGGGAGCTCAGGAAATGAGCTGAAGGGGGCTTTGATTGCAACCAATAGCATCCTGTGTCCTTATTAGCACGCCTCGGTCACGTGGTTGCAAACAGGTCGGGCCTTGGAATCAAAGGAGAGAGGACGTGACGCTGTGCACGCATTCTCCATCCCTTCATTATCCCCCCTGCTCACCAAGCAACACAACAGGTACTACACCAGTGTCAGGGCCATTTTACACACTCAAGAGGGCTTAAGTTAGATGATCCAGCCTTGACAAAATCCTGGATAGATCAGTCCACGTCTTGGGGCATGACCCATGAATACTTCTTAGTAGAACATGTATCCTTGAGATAACATTCTGCTCCTGTAAAATGACAGACTGTTTTCCATCATTAGAGGGCAGCTCAGTCCCTTTTACTGCCTTTTGATCCCACTTGATCACAGGTTAAAGCCTTTTTGTATTTGTTTATTTCCTCCAAAATCCCCTGATGAATCTCATTTTCAATATCAAAACATCAACTTCCTGTGTATGTTGTGAAAATGAGTGTTACGTTATCCCCAGGTTACATAAGGATTTGTACCAGATGTGAATTTTCACACAAATGTGAGAAAAAATAGAGCAGATTTTACTGTAAGGCAAAATGTCAGGTCATTTAAAAGAACAGTGAGTTGTGTGGGCAGAGGTAAACGGGGAAAAGAAGTACCTGACATCCAGCATCAGCGTCAGACAGACCTGACATGCCTCAGCTCCACTGATGTGTATAAAACACCAGCCACATGTGGAGCGGCATACTGTGGTGTGCGCATGAAGTCAGATCATATCAAGCTGCTGTGAAGAATGGCAGACTGACAATGAAGTTTGGCAGGGCAGCAGGAAACATCTGGGCTTCAGCCTTATCTCTGTGACGTGACACGCCCCGGAGCGAGGCCTGAAGACAGAGCACCCAGTAAAGTGCAAGTCACTGGCCACAAGCAATCTTCAAAGGCCAAGCATGATTACATCTACATCACTCCAGCCATTTACAGCACAAACAGCACATGACTCGCACATGAAGGCACCGGCCACCTATGTGCATCACAAGTCTAGTCAAGGTTCAAATCGTGTCCGCAGATCACAGGATTAAAGACAGGGTTTTTTTTCCCATAGGGTGATCTCTGTCCCTCAGACGCTCTGACCATCTCAGGATTTCCATTAGAAAGAGTGTTCTACATATCAATCCAAGCTTTAATTAAAAAGCTGCTATATTCACAGAGCCTTCGTAAGCTCGCTGGAAATGCGCAGGTTGTCCTGCTCTTCTCCATGAGTGGGCGAAATGCTGCATTTGGAAACCAAATGAGATCATTGTTGCCAGGCTCAAGCCTTTCATCTAATTTTATTGTCGTTACCGAGTGACTGTCACCCTCTGGTAAACACTTGATGTTGTCATCAGCATTAGTACCATTACTCATATGCTTGGAAGGGTGACTCAATGCCCAGTCAATACTGTTTCCTCTTATACTGAAATGTACATTGTCTTCGTATAAAAAACAGGAACAAATAATAGTAAATACTGTGATGGATGCATTTAATGCTTAAATCATTAACACACAAACAGCTTTGCTAATTTTTTGGTGGTAAATGGCTTTAATGCTAAGACTGATACGTTTAGAAAGAGGTTTTATACAGCTAAAAACAATGTACTCATCAAAAATGTATAATTACATAGTATATATTTACATTTAAAAAGCACAATATTGCAGTAAAATCTGCATTGTTTCAGTGTTTTAGTCATTTTTAAATGAAGGAAAAACTGGTTACATGTGCTCTTATTTGTGTTATAACTACACTAAATGTGCAATATTCACAAACATCCTATGTGTAGTTTTTACCTTGTACACTAATTTATTGTTTATTATTGTGTGGATTGGACGGTTGAATGTATGGAGAATGTGGCTTATAGCTGTCTGCACCTTACAGGACTCCTTATTTCACTGTGTTTCTTAATAATCCAAAAAAACATCCTGATTCTGATGTTATCTTTGGATGCCAGTTTGTAACCTTCGTACAAATTGCTCTGAATTTCAAAGCTGACTTGGATGAGTAAAGTGACATAACAGGCTGATCAGTGATGTGTTTTGTGCCTAGATTTTTAAAATGTTTTTGTCTAAGGCAAAATGTACTTATAATATGCAACACAGATAATACACTCCAGTAGGACTCCACAGAATGAAACTGATGAACGATTTATATTCAAAGTGCAGGACTGAAGTGAAACCTTTTCGACATTGTACATGGGAATGTGTATAAGTGACCATTTTGGCTCAAAGTTATGGAAGTCCTGGGTTGTTCATCTATCTGACTCAGGGTGTCAAACATACAGCCCGGGGGTCAGAACCGGCCCGCCAAAGAGTCCAATCCAGCCCACTGGATGTTTTTTTTTTAACTAATAGTGATGCACTTGTTAAGGTTAAGAGGTGCCAGGTTTCATGAGCAAGTTTAACAGTGAGTAGCTTTCTTCATGTAAAATGCTGCTTCAGAGGCTTTTTCACTCCGACAAGAATAGTTCTTTCCTTTCTTCAGTTTGGTTTGGTGACGTCAGGATTACTACACAGCAGTGGAAATGTATGGAAAAATGTCCACAATATTATCATATGTAACATGATATCAGTATCTAATTTTTCTATAAAATTAATTAGTTATCATCAGTACGGGTATGCTGTGACACCAGCTACTTATTTTTATTTACCTCCTATTTTCCCCAAATTATGTAAAACGTGTCTGGCTGCTTTGTACTAACCCTTTCTAAAATTCTAACAAAAACTTAAATGCTAAAAATGCTTTCTGTCAATGAGGGGATTTCCTGCTGATTGCCTAGATGATGATGATGATGATGATGATGATGATACAGTAAAAGCTTCGAAGCACAAACTCTTAAAGAAATCTTTTTATTAAAAGACTGTAAATTATTTAATACAAAAATATAATTCACAGAACAATAAAAAACATGTTCAAGTGTGGCCCAAAATATGAGAAAAAAGGGAAGGAGAAAAAAAACATACTGTTTTTGTTACACAGTCCGCCACTTGTGATGGTGTGACATCCTTGTCGAGTCTTTCCGATGGAAACCAAATAGCAGGACTTGAAGCAGGATCTTTGGAGGGGAAATGGAGGCTGCTATAAAAAGCAGCGGTGACAGCGTGGATGAGTGCTGAACACTGATCTGCTGGACGCCTCAAACAGGAAACTGTTTTCTCACCACGTCTGCCAGTTGGGGATCAGACTCTGACAGCACGGACTGCAGGTGCTGAAACTACACAAGGGGAAGAAGGGCGGGGTGGAAACATAATGTTTATTTTCCATTGGAGCTGCTGGCAGTCCATCACACGTCTAACGCTGACACTAACTCTAAAATAAATCCTAAACCCTTTCATTAAACAATGGAACGACGGGCAGTGGTTTGCACAGGATTAGGCTATTAAAGAAAAGGCTGGAGAAAATTCAGGGTGTGATTATCTCAATAAATCTATTGTCACTGAGTCTACAATGTTTTTATAAACTTCTGTGATGTTTTAAAGTAGCTTATTTTGTCTAAAAAAATTAAAAAAAAATGCTTAAAACAAAACCTGCAACATTTTAGGAAGCTGTAACCAACCATCTCATATTATATCTCATATTAACCCTATTAACTCTTTGAAAGCTGAGGAAATTGGCTTGATTTGTTTTAAAAACATGGGAAGAGGGCAACGAGCAGCGGAAGAAGAAATGACCCAAAAAAATTGCAAGAAATTAGTAAAAAGAGAACAATGAAAGCAAGAAAATTAGTAGAAAGAAAATAAAACAAACAAGGAAATTACTTGGAAAAAGTGCTTAAAAACGATGATAATTCTATAACATAATTTTAAAATTTAATAATTATAAATATGTTTTTCCCTATCTTTTTTTTTTTATTATTATTTTTTTTTACAATTTGTGGGACGTTGCTTACCAAGTTGCTCATTGCCTTTTTTTCCCATGGTTTTTGAAAGAAATTGCACCAATTTGCTCAGGGTTCAAAGGTTTAAATACTTGAGAAAGGCGTCAGAAAGCAGCGCAAGAAAAGTGATGTTGCTCCAGGTTTCAAAGGGTTAAAGGGATTTAATTATTTGTAGACACACTATTTCTTGTCAACTGACCGGTTTTTAACAGTAATAACAATTAAATGTATAATTTGGTATTAGATTCAAAGGTTAAGCTTTTATGTGGGGACTGTAAGGATTTTACAATGAACTTTAATTTTAAAGCAGCTACAAACTGGTAATGAAATAGTTTCAATTTAATACTAAAGCCCCGATATGACCTACAAAAACAAACCAGACCATCAGTTAAAATATTAGCTATTTTTATGTAGGACTTCTAATGTCTGTCCCTGCGTCTGATTTCTACTGAACGATTCACAGCACTACTGCATTCGTCCACAGAAGCTGCCATCATCAACACAAAATTAAAGTTCCTTCTAGCTGTTTTAAAGTTTAAAAAACAGCAGACTGGATGATTCTAGTTGCTCCATCTTTAAATGTAATACATATCTGAGTATATTTAAACCATTTTGGATAAAACACTTACTGAAGTCTTAAAGCTGGGAACCAAACTTCTAGCAGCAGTGAGACACGTCTTCTCTGTAAGGTAACCTTTCTTCACTAGATCGGCCACTGCGTCCTACAGAGAGCAAAAACCAGAACAATCACTTCAGTGGCCTTTCAAAGTGAAAAGAAAGCTCTGTAAGGCCCTGATAGCACAGAAAACATTTAGCAGCTGGAGACCGCTTTTTGTAATTGTTTTTAATGAGAATAAAGCTTTTCAATCGCTGTTTTTGCGCTCCAGGTGCCTGGCGTATTTGCCAGTGCTCCAAACTTCTTGACTCAAAAAAACTTCAACTCAGAGTCCCAGAGTCATGCTAAAATATGCCTGAAAACGTCCATTATCAAGGCGAAGCTCCTGGACCAACTGGTGGTACTCTCAGCGATCCACCCTCTTTGTTAGGGTCTCATGTACCCACAGATCGACGTTTCTTTGTGCCCTGCAAACTATTTGCTGATAGCCTCTCGCCCTCAACCTGAGCTAGAGCAGGTACCCTCTGCCTGAAAATTTTAGTAACACGCTACTAATTACTGTGGAAAAAAATGGTAAATGGATTACACAGGAAGGTTAGTGTAAGGACGTGATGGGGTGGTTGCCTGGCAACTATAAAAAGGTGCAACAAGCGTTTTCTTTACAAGTGGCATTCACTTACAAAAAAAAGGGCAGTGCGGTGCACCTCGTGTTTTGCAACCTGCAAAATGCTTTCTGTGTGATCGGGGCCTAAACAATCTGATCCTACAGGAAAGCGTTCTTTTGGTTGCATTACTTTGGGAATTTGAATGCAGATGTCAGCTAGAAACTCAGTTGTGATCTCTGCTAGCATCTGGAGCTGTTCATCTTTTGTGTCTTCTTTGCTGGTGCTGTCGTCTTTGCCCTCGCTGTGGTACTGAAGCACCCGCAGAATGGTTCCAATCAGGGGAACACCTGGAAGCAGACAACAAACGTATTTGCACAAAACACATCAAATTATTAATGAGAAATGGGCATATTGACACTAAAATGGGAGACATCCTCATCACCAACTCTGAGCTTATAGTGTCATTATATTTAATTTTTTTTAATTTATTTTTTTAATTTAATTTTATTTAATTTTTTGCATAATGCAACTATATAAAAAAAGCCTCAACTGTCCCCAGTCCTAATCCTTTGGGTCAGCATATAAAAATACTTATATACAATAAAATCGCATCGTTTTGAAATACCAGAAATCATACGGCTAACACTACATTAACATTCAGTGTACATGCATTATAAAAAGGCAGCTCTTAAATCAGATGTCATTCTGTTGCAAAACTAACTTGTGTCACTTTTGCTGCTCCACTGATCCTGGCATCTATAAAGAGCCTGCAGCACAGCAAAGGCCTGAACCAAAATACTCTTCTGCTCCTGCAGGACAACTGGAAGATCTGTTGGCTGGCAGAGGTCCTCGCACAAAACGTCACAGACAAAGTCCCACACTGCTTTCCCGGGTCCATCAGGGGCAGCTGGAAGACACAGTCAAACAACATCTGGCTGCTTCAGTCTTCTATTAGATTTCACTGCGTTAACAACTATGATAAACATCTTTAACTTCTGTAATGATGTGCCAGCAGCTGAACTGAATATAAACTGTGTGGACTGCTCTTACCAAAAGTCTGAATGCCCTCATCTACAGTGGTGAGGAGCTGGAGGGCATGAAGGTAAACCTCTAAGCCATTTGGACTCTCTGATCTGTGAAAGCGATGTAATACTGGTGAATACTGAGGGTCGAATAAATCATCAACATGAGTACCATGTATTTAGTTTGAATTCCACTATATCAGAATAACAATACCAGATTGTTTTACAGATGTCAATAATATCAACAAATATACCAGTGCATTGCATCAACTTAAGATTATAGATATACAAATATGAAAAAGAGTGACTGGAGGATTTTTATTAAGACTAGAGAAAATGTTAATTTAGGTTTTGGCCATAATACACCTGCAGTTTATAATCACTAATCTGTGGATCTGTTGCTTTATATGGAAAACATTTTAATTCCCATTCAAAGTTAATCTTATCATGCAAACATTCTCCTGAATGTCAATTTCAGATTCCCACCTGAGCTGCTTGGCTGCCTCAAGAAGACATGAGGCCACATCCAGACGGCTTTCACCATCCTCTGCCTCCTCTTCCTCCTCACTTGGTTGAGCTGTGATCCAACTCTTCATCAGCTCTTCATCAAGGTCAAACAGTTTGTCCACCAGCTCTCCAGTCTTCTCAAGCAGGTCAGCTGCAACACACACAGGGTATTACTTATAATAACTATTGTAAACAGCAGGTGCCCAGTGGAGTGTTCTTGTAAACAAACAGTTTATGTTTTCATTTAGTTTAACCCACCAAAAAGGCACTGTGTCTGTCCTTAAAGTCTACCAAATGTGTTGAAAGCATTTCCCCAAAATCATTTTCAAAGCTTATTCAATAGTATTTACATTTTTTAATCCAGCATTGTTGACATCCAGTGCTACAGAGGTCAAAGCTCCACAAGGAACCTCTAAGATGACCAGCTTACAGGGACTTTGACTCAGGGTGCCTTTACACCGGTTTGGTACGGTTAAACCAATATCAGGAGTGTTGCCTGTCAAATACAGTGTAATGGGCTGGTGTGAAAGCTGTCAAGTGAACCCTAAAGACCAAACAACTGAAAAGTGACCGTCTGAAAAGCTGGATCTCACCTGGTGCGCAGTGCAGTATTGTTAATGTAAGTCAATTTGGTTTGTCAAACAGATAAACACATAACACGTCACGAGCTAATTAAAAAGAGATAAAGAGTAAAAGCACAGTACTGTTGGTAGAACTGCACATGATGAACAAGAGGTTGGTGCGCACAGACGTCTGCTTTCGCATCCGCTGAAGCCACAGGGAGCAGACATCTTTCTGAGAGACACAGGTCAGCAGCAATCTGCGAACATCATCAGAAAAGATAAATACTTCTCCCTCAGTCTCTCTGTCTTACACATCTGCAGAAAATGCAAACGTCACCTGCTTGTTTCCAGAAGGGTAGGAGGATCTGTATCTCCAAGAAGAAGCAACAGCACCTCACTGTAGGCACACAGGGGGTAGCATTCATTAGAATGAATCACAAGAGTGTAAAACTTTAATTAGAGAACAACAAAAGATGATGACATTTACCCACCCCAAGTCTTCATTTTGGCTAAGAGTCACACAAGTGTCAGGAAAACAAGCAATGTTCCCGAGGATGCCCACACAAATTTCCTAGAGAAGCAAAAATAAAAAAAGACTTGTCATTGAAATTCTCAAAGCCAAGAAATATAGCATAAAAATTGAATAAATAGGATAATGCTATGACACAGAATGTATGAACTGGAGGCGATTTCACTCACGGTGAGACGTGGACAACGAGATTTGGCTATCACACCAAGAAGGATATCTGTAGCTTTAAATTCCTGCAGAAAACCAGCCACATCCTGCACACAGTTGGTAGATAATCAGTAATTAGTAAATGTTTAAACATGAAAACATTCCGTCATTCACTTCTCACTGCAACATGCACTCAGCTGCAGGTTTATTACGCAAACCTAACAATAACTGCCCAGCAATCCAGCAATAAATCCTCCCATCATGAAGGCTATAATGTTTGTTTTCCCTGAAGTCATTGCAGAGAAGTGTTGATTCAACTCAATGGTCATTTTGGAGGGAGGAAGTATTTTGTGGTAATGTTGAGCTATATTGATTAAGGATAGACCAATACATCGGCCGGCCGATATATCGGGCCGATATTTGAGTTTTTTACTTGTATCGGCATCGGCGCGTGGGTTCACAGATTTATTTTTCCCTGGCACTTTTTTTCATTTGAAAGTATGTGGTTAAGTTGAACAAAGCTGTTGAATCCTACTGTGTACAGTAGTTGTTGTTTTATTTATGCTTCAGCTTAAATATTTGTTTATTTTATAAAGACATTACTGGAAGATTTAAGAGCACTGAACTCTTTTTTTTTATTTGAATTGTATAATAATAATAATAATAATATTCTACTTGTTCTACCTCAACTTTCCATCTTGTTTTAGTATTTTTTACTGTTCAGTAAATGTTTCTTATTTTAAACTTGAGACCTGAAATATTTGTTATCATTGGGTCATTTTTTTGATGTAAATTGAGGGAGCAAAAGCAGTATCGGCCCCAAATATCGGCTCAAGAAAATCGGCAGTCCACAATCGGTCATCGGCTAAGGGTGATGGAAAAAAAATCGGTATCGGCCCTAAAAAATCCATATCGGTCTATCCCTAATATTGATTTTACTGAGAGGTGTTGCAGTTATATTGTCCCCACATTTATAACAATGAGGCAGGCAAAACAACAGTAACACCTGCCAGTATAATGCAATAAAGTTTAACTACATCCTCTAATGATCATAAAATTCAGCAGAATACACATTTTAATTTAAGTATTTAACAATCCTTTTTTTTTTTTACAATGCAACTTAAATCCATGTAATACATTTTGATACATGTCTTTTTATATTAGGTTGTAGTTGCTCTTATAAATACAACATAACATAACAGAACACACATTCTCCTTTACCAGGGAAAAGACAGTAGAACAGGGTGGCAAATAAAACCCTGACCAGTCCAAGAATGTAAAGCCTTTGGTGTACTGATAAAGAACTCTACCTTATCCATTGCCATATCCCAGACTCTACATAGATTTTCCTCATCGTCATCAGGGAGCTCCATCTGACCTTCAGAGTCCACCTCTGCATGCTCTTTGACCATCTGAGAGACACAACCAGTTTTACAGACATGAGGAAATGTTAGGTACATTAGAGAGCATGCAGCAGAGAGCGACAGTAAAGATGATCCAATCAGTTGAATAGAAACTGGAAGATTTTTCATTCCAGCTATTGGCTGACTGGGAAAGGCTATTTTTGAAAAGGTCAAGAAAATAAATGCAACTTAATTACAGCCAACCTACATGGATGAGACGAGTCAGGGTACTGAAAAGCCAGTGCTTGCTGTAAACAGTGTCTCCAATGGCGTCCAAATCTCCGTCCTCCTCTCCATCGGCTGCATCTGGGGGTGGTGATGGGTTACGGTCCATTACAGGAGACTGTGTTCCAGCTGGAGATGAGGATCTCTCAGTCTCAACTTCCTCAGCACCATCAACATTACAGTCTGGGAAAAAACAGCGGCATGAACTACAGATACCATGAGTTTTTAGTCATATTGTTTCTACAATAGTTCAGGTGGAATCAGACCATCAGTAAGATGGACTGCTTTATTGGATGTACAGGATTTGGGCATCAATATCATGTTCACTGGACAAGCAAAAACAAAACCAATCTGGTCTGTGTCACGGTTACACTCAGTTGCCAGTTTATAATGTACACATACTTAAAACTAGTGCAGTTTTAGAGCTGTGTTGATTCAACTTCATTGTCATTTTGGAGGCTGTAATGTGTAGTGGGGTTAAATTACATAGCCTTATTTTGAGGAATATTAATATATTGTCCACTGCATTTCCTTTATATCAATATATGTCAACGAAATACGTTGTATTTCTGCGCAATGGCAAACCGGTGTGTCTGGTAAAACGACAAGCTGTATCATGACATGTTACTCTGAATAGGAAGCTTGGCTCTGTTACATACGAGCTAACTTGAAATAAAGACGTCTGTCATTTTAGCATTCGTTAGGCTCCTAATATCTTTAAACATACTCAACTTCAGCTGAATATTAAACACCCTCCGTTAGCTTACAGCAGCGATGTTGTCACCAACTACTTAACATTAGCTAAGTTAGCAGAAGCAAATCCAGTTACTAACGGTGGGTTTTTATCTAGCTGACATACTCTTAAACAGCATTGTTACATGTTGACTCACCCATAGTGACCGCTTTTTACATAAAAAACTACCTGGTAAATGTTAAATGTAATATTATCGCATTTTAACGTTACACTCTCCAGTCGACATTTCAAACAGCCTCCATTTACTACTAGTACCTGGATGCGCATGCGTGAATGTTGTACACACTGCGCGTTCTTCTTCTTGTTGTGGACCAACCTCAAGTCAAAGTGTATGTCGCCACCTGCAGGGCGCAGAGGGAACCACAGGCAAAAAGATGTTAGAGCAGTATCATATAAAAGTTTGGGCACCCATGGACAAAATTTCGTTTACTGTGAATAGTTAATAAGTAGAAGACGAACTGAAAAAAATTAAAAGAAAAAATTTAAGAAAGATGAACAATGATTTTCTGCATTGTAAGCAAGATAGATTTTTTTAAAACAATTTTAGAGTGAAAAAAGGAAAGGAGCATCATGCAAAGGTTTGAGCTCTCAGACAACTTTTTACCAGGGTCTCAGACCTTAATTAGCCTGTTAGAGCTATGGCTAATTCACGATCATCATCAAGAAAGGCCATGTGATGCAAATTTCAAAGCATTATAATTATGCTGACTCCTGACAGCTGTACAAATATGACCTTCATGGGAGAATGATCAGAAAAAAAACCCTTTCCTGCATCCTCGCCAGCCCTTTAAAGTCAAATCTAAATATGAATTAGGGTTTAAAAATAAGTATTTTGATAAGCAGTAAGAGAACTCTTAGCAGCTTTGAAAAATAAAATGGCAACTCGCTACGACTGCAGTGAAATGAATGAATATATAATTTTTTGTCAACTCTGTGGGACATCAACTCGGTCAGATCTTACCTGTGACATCCATTATGTATGCTGCTGGAGAAAAAATTAAATTACCAGGAGGATGGCCCAGGTTTAATAGTGAAGACCTTGATCTTTTAAATATAGCCTATTTTCCAGCTTAATTGAAGGGTAAAAATTAAACCCCCCAAAAATGAGGTTTTGTCCCAGTTCGCAAGAATGAGTGAAAGGTAAATTAAAAACAATATTAATGAACATTTCTTGCAAACAGAAAACAAACTTTTTGTATGATCATGTGTAATTTATTGAAATGATTAGTTAGTTAATCAATCAACTTTGTCAGTCCACAGAAAATTAATCAGCCACATTTGTTTTAAAGCATAACTGTCAGAAATGTATTTGCAGTTTTTCTTAGTGTTCTGTGATGGTAACCTGAATCTCTGTGGGTTTGCGATCTGTAAATGGAAAAACAAGACATTTAAAGATATCACCATGGGCTCTGCTAATTTACAGGTGTTTTCCACAATTATGTGACACTGTCTATGGAAATAATATTAAATAATATTGGACAAAAATGTGAAATAATAAATAAAAAAAAAAGTACTTCAGCATTAGCATCAGCTGCCAATGGCTCTCATACTAATAATGCAGTGTTTGTTTCTTCAACCAAACCTCACAGTGTGTGGTTTCTGTGTGTTGTTACAGCACATACAGTGCTGTCTTTGCTCACTTTCCTGCAAACAGAAAGCTTGCTCTTCTGATAACACCTTAGCCTTTCCTAAGAATTGATGACAGGATATTAATCTTGTTCTGTAGTCAAATAATCCCATTGGATCTAAACCGAATCCTGAACAACAACTATATTGTGTTTTCTGTAATAGAACCTGCATAAAAAGTCATTATACATATATATATATATTTATAATTATGATAAAATATAATGAAGAAGCATCAAAAAGAAGCAGAATACGATAAAGAGACAGACTGAATGGCTGATTTTATATTATTGACTGATGGAAGTATAGATAATGCACAATTTTACAATACTGATATTGCACCGGAGTGATTAATTGTAAGCAGTAACAAGTAAAAGCAAGATATAATAATAAATAGGCTGAGTGCCAGAATTAACATTATTGCACCTGTCAGTGTAGATATATCAATATAAACGGCTCATTCTAAGGTAACAAAAACACAACCATTCACATTTTCAAGTTATTATACACAAAAGAAAACAAACTAATTATATTATATATCATTTCTGCCAATATAACCCCCTGAATATGACACACTGGACTATTCAAACTTGTGCTGCTCTCTGACACACTGCCTTGTTTTTAGCATCATTTCAGTCTATGGAGAATAAGGGCAAGGGTTGGATGTAAATAATATTATGTCAACACGGATTACAAAATCTTGAATAGTCCCACCTCTAATCAAAACTCTTTGAGGCAATTTGGCGGGTGTCCTGGCCTCCCTGAATCAACACTGTATGTGCTGTCAGACAGGAGTAATTATACGCCTTCCTCACCATGCAGCTGTCCCCCTGTGGGAGTGGTCCAAAGCCCTGTTTGCACTTGGAGGAGCTTCCACTGAAAAGTTATTTGAGAACATACAAATAAAACTTTATCATTTTTTCCAAGTTGAAACCACAGATGTGTAAACAGTTTGAATAAGGCTAATCATGTGTGATGGGAAGGAAAGATCAGCCCACCAGATGGAATAATTAATATTGTTTATTTTTGTTGTGAGTAATCTCTTCAAACATCTGTTGACCAATGGCAGTTGGGTATGACTTTGGTGTTTAATTTAAGTAAGTTAAGTTTAAGTTTCTTAACTTGAGGTAATATCGTCGCTCAGTCTCTTAAATAGTTTTCACCCATTAAATGGTGCTTGAACAAATAATTAGTAGGGTTGGAGCAGTGTTCTGTGAAACCATGGGAAGGAAATTGGCACTTATTAGACCATGTACATTTGCTCATCTATAGTACTGAAAAAAAAAATGCAGCCAGACAGAGAATCTCATCTGCAGGTATGCATCTCCTTTGCTCCACCACTGGCTGTCAGACTCTTCACACATACTTCCTTTAAAAGAAATGGTTACAAGTTTCAATTTTAATAAAGTGTTTCTTCAACCAAAAAAAAAACCCTTCAGGTTTCATTCATTTAAGGGTCTTTGAAACTGATAATGATAATATAATGATAATAATAAAAGGGCGTCGGTGGCATAGTGGTAGAGCAGGCAAGGCTGTTGCCGCAGCGGCCTGGGTTCAACTCCAGCCTGTGGCCCTTTGCTGCATGTCACTCCCTTTCTCTCTCCCCCTTCACATCTCTCTGTCCTTATAACTTAAGTAAAATCAGGAAAGGCTCTCTGATAAAAGTATGTTTTAAGAAGGGAATTAAAAGAGATCACTGACCTGATTTCCTCAAGGAAGATTGTTCCAGAGTCCCGGGGCCCTGACAGCAAACACTCTGTCCCCTTTAGCTGGAAGCTGGGCCTCTGGAACAGACAAAAGGCCTCTGCCCGAGGACCTCAAAGTACGTTCTGGTGTGTATGGTACTAAGAGTTCGGAGATATAGCTGGAAGAGAGACCATGAAGAGCCTTAAAAACATTAAAACATTAAAACATACTGAGAGCCAGTGTAAAGAAGCTAAAACTGGAGTGATGTGATCATGTTTCTTGGTTTTGGTTATCGTACTGTGAAAATCTCATACTGTCGCAACCCTTGTAGCCACAACACAAACTTTTTGTCACAACTTTGCCTGAGACTAGAGTTGTTCTGATACTAATACCAGTATCAGAAATGCCTCTGATACTGTCTAAAATGCTGGTTCAGGTACGGGTGAGTGCACCAATCCAATACCATGTAAGTTATAATTAAACTTTAAAGTAGTTTCACACTTGGATAAAACAGCAGTTTCCCCGAAATCAGTTATTTTCGCCGCTCTGAAACAGCAGCCTACACAACAAGTTGCATTGTGCAGCCACTGGCAACCACTGTTTTAGAGTCAAGTCAGGCAAACTTTATTCATATAGCACATTTCATACAACAAGCATGAGCTCAATGTGCTGAAGATACATCATACATGACAAACATGAAATATCATATAAGATAATAAAGTTTTACATATTTAAAAACAAACAGGACATGATAAAAATACACAAAATAAGAAGTCAATATGTGACGAGGTCAGAGTGAGAATGTGTTGGATCTAAGGGATCTCACTGGTGTGTACTCTGTGAGCATGTCAGCAACATAGGCAGGAGCTAAAGCAATAAATCATTTAAAAACAATAATAAGTATTTTAAAATGAGCTCTTTGTTTAATTGGTAGCCAGTGAAGAGAAGAAAAAATAGGTGCTATGTGATCAGACCTTTTAGTTTTTGTTAAAACTCTGGCTGCTCCATTCTGAATAAGCTGGAGTTTATTTAATGTATGCTTTGTCAGCCCAGCAAAAAGTGCATTACAGTATCCAGCATACTGGAAATAAAAGCATGGCAAAGAAGAATGCATTTTCAGTTAATAGTGTAACATTAGCCGTTAGCAATATGTCAGCAATTTGGTAATTTCTATGGATTCATACTCTGCATGTATTTGTACATGTTTTGCGATGGGTTGAACCTGAGCCATGGCATACAAGAAAGACATTTTGTTTTTGAAGTGGCACCAGATCAGCACTTGGTATTTGCCAAAGAGGAAGTTCGTTCATTGGAATTATTATCAGGAAGGAACAGATGTTATCAGAGCATCTCTTCCAGAGACTTGGAATGTTTGCACTTGGATATGATGGCAAGTGTAGCGTTTAACATGACTCAGGTAGAGGATGACTGTCATTAAGGATGTAGCACAGTCAGTTGCACATCCTGTGCTCTTCATGACGCAGATGTCATTTAGATAATACAGTATATTCATGTCACCATATTAAAGCAAACATTTAGCTAGAAGTTTCATTGTTGGTTTAGAGTTTCCTTCAGTTATTGTCTCTTTCACTGTCAAATAATTTCCGATGTCGTGATACGTCGGAGTAATTTCCTTAGACATCTCATTGTTTCCTTTTCTGACAATTATAAATGGAACACAATTAAGTTTCAGCCCTAATATCTTTCATAATCAATGTTCAATGAATTTTACAGTTCTGGAAAACATTTATTGTTTAATCAATGATCCCACATTTTAGTTCCCTAATGTATACTGTCATGTTAAAGAGATTATCTTACATTGCAGAAATCACTTCATCTTAAACTAATATCATATTCCTGCAGGATTCTTCTAACTTAATAACAGGCAACATTATAACATCTACGTAACACTAAAGCAGAAAATTTGAACACTGCATGAATGACTGCTTTATGATGATTTAACGTAATTTCTGGTTTTACGAAGCAAAAATTAACATTATGAGAAGAAAACCTTATGTATACATTCAGTTTTCACAGATTGCATTGTGTGCATTCCTAAAGCCTAACAAAATAAATAAAAGCATTCCTTTCTTTTGATATTTTGGATAAATGCAGCTACATTAACTATGCCTACCCTATTTAAAGTGTGTTCAAATTTTGTTGCAGTAGCAGAGGTCATTGCCCCGTATTGCGTAAGTCTGCCAGTGAAGCCTTTATACCAGGTAATATTTGTTTAACACATCAGTTGTTTTTTGTACCCTGCAGCATGTGACAGGTCTGACAGCTCGCAGATTTCATTGTAACACCTGCTTCAATGTTTTCTGAGGATCAAGTAGTCTGACTGACGAAGACTGTTGCTCCAAAACCAGTGTAGTAACATGAGATCTGCAAACATGTTAACACTGATACTGTCTTTAAACTGAACTCACAGGGTCGTGTTTTTTTACTAAACCAATACTATAAAGAGCAGTCCTGCTTATTGATTTCAACCACTGCCTACAATGGGCTGACAGACAGAAATAGGGATATCTTTAGCTGTCTTAAGGTAGACTTCGTAGCTAAATCTGTGCAGATAAACACATTTTTATGAGCTCACAGTATACAGCATGGCGATATTGTCAAACCGTACTATGAATGTGATTTGAAAGAAAAGTGATTTCCCTGAAAATAACAAGATCCTTACTGGAAACACTGATTCCTTGTAATTTTGTGGCATTCATTTAACACCGAGGGATATTTAGATTTGGTTATGACGCACCTGCCTATCAAGTGTAAAGCAGATGGCAGATAGGGTGACGCACACTCTGTTTAAAACCAGGAATACTTGCCTCACCCATGGGCCACTTTTATAGGATGACAGGAGGCCAGGAGCCAGTCGCAGCAGCACTGCAGAGTTCAGGTGTATGCAGGGGCATTTCTAAGATTTGAGAACACCTGGGGCTTAACCCTCTGGCACCTTATTTACATTCAAAGTACAAAAAAATTCCCAGTGTGAATCAGTTTATTTTCAGAAAATGTTCAGCTGGCTACCCAGCACCTCATACATGGGCTGGTATTTGAGTATCACAGGCAAGGTTGGAGATTAACTTTTTTGTCCATCTGCCTCTATGGCTGGTCGATTTCAAAATCTTGTAGAGAAGACTCCAGCACACTGTCTAACTTGCAAAAATAATGATTTCAATGCTGCAACGTTTCGAGGACTAGACCTTTATCAGGCAAACAGTTTCGCAACAAAGAGGAGCCGTCTTAAGTAGGGGTGGCTATGCGTTTGCAATTAGTCATATTACCAACGTAACATCAAGATTCAGTAAGTCACCAATCAACATTGTACATAGAAACAGAAGAATAAAGAGGTAAATTTAAAAACAGCTTAGTGACAATCTTAAACATACCCCCCAAAAATTTATATTGGATAGGAACGTTCTTGAGAATAAATGCTGAGGAGAAACACTGATTTGTAACACGAATTCATATTTTACTGGTTTAAGTCACGGGATGCATTGGTTTTGAGAGGAAGTGACCTCTGCCAATAATTCGACTGCAAGTAAAAACCGACCGATTAGTGAATGCTGAAGGAAACCTTACTGTGAGTTCATGTTTGGCACATAGGAGTTTCAGCTGGTTGCTATCTGCAATATTTACCGCCAGATGCCACTAAATCCTACACACTGCTCCTTTAACCCCTCCTTTCAGATCACACTTACTCAAGAGAGCTCTACTTTCTGTGGTGTGGGCAGAGTCTTTATTTATGCCCATCAAAATGTTATATTGTCAAAATTTAATTTTATTTCATTACTATTTTACATTTTTTAATTAGTTGTCATTGGGATAATTATTATGAAAATACGTGCTGTTATCCTTACTGAAAATGAATGCCGTTTTGCATTGTTGACGCTGAGGCTGCTCACACGTAATCTGTACGTGCTTGGCCTGTGCAGTGTTGTGTGCTCAAGCATACCCCAGCTGACACTTGTCGTGACGAGGTTGGACAGTAAACCAATCATTGAAAAATATTTTTATTTCCTGTATAATCATATCATAACACAGTTCTCATCAAAAAATATCACGGCTGTTAAGTTCTCGTTAACTCAGAAAGTTGAATTTTACTAAAATCTGTCACAGCATGGCATCCTCAACTCTGTAATGCTGATTTATTACAAATTTCATCCAGAAGTAACTACTTATTAAAGAATAAGACTAATATAATAAAAGGAGCACACCGTCAACAAAACTGTTTTATTGCAGCCAATTCCTGTAAGAATAAAATCTTTTAATCGAAGTGCATATTTGTTCAATCAAGCCATAAGGAGGATGCAGGAATTATTATATTGGACTTGTCAAAGGCGTCAGACATCCATTCAGCAAATGTTTGCCATGTCGCGGAGATAAAATCTTTAGTTGACTTGCCACTCAAACAGGAGGCGTGAGCAAAACACATTGTAATCTCAATATAAAGAGCTGTCAAGTGCAGTGTGGCCATTACCTGCTTTGCAAGCCCACAGCAGCAACCATGGGGTGGCGAAGGGTTTGGTTCTGTGTCCTTGCATTGTCTGTTGCCAGTGTCATCGATGTTCAAGCCAGACTGGGTAAGACTCAGGTTGTTGTGGATGATGTCTGGATTGATCATTCTTTTTATTTATATATACAAATGAAGCACTGTCTCTGATATCAGTCACTTGGAGCATTTAGTAACTCAAACTGTTTTCTACACTTTAAAATTTTCTCTAGTACGCAACCATGTCAGCAGCATCTGCAGCACATGGGGCAGAGAGCACTTCAAAACGTTCGACGGTGATGTTTACCAGTTCCCTGGTATGTGTGAGTACAACCTGGTCTCCGACTGCCACGAGTCCTACCAAGAGTTCTCTGTGCATCTGAAGAGAAAGGACAATGATGGAAACCCTACAGTCAGCCATGTGGTGGTCACCATCAATGAACTCCTCTTCTACCTCACCAAAGACATGGTCATTGTGAATGACAACCCGTAAGTAAAACATCATATAACATGTGAAAGCAGCTGTACTTCTCTTATTTAATAATGTTTGTGCATTATAATGATACAATAATGTATTTTTCCCCAGTGTCAAACTGCCATACCACAGTGCAGGGGTACAAGTGGAAAGAAATGCTGTGTACTTTAAGCTCCAATCTAAAGTCGGCATCACCGTCATGTGGAACGGAGATGATGCAGTCATGGTATGAAACTCTTGGCAGAAATCTATCTACGCAGCTCTTCTTAAAGTGACTTGCGTGAGGCACATACAGTACAGTTTAAGGAGGTTTTTGAATCTAAGATAGGAACACATGTTTCTGTCTTTAATGTTGAACAGATGAACCTCCCAGAGATGCAGACATGTTTATATATTTCTTGTTGTTAATGGAAGTACATTAGCTCAGTATAAAACCACAATCATAATATATATTCATGTCATTAATGAGGCAGTTACAGTTCATTGGTGTTGTGTTTGCTTTTAAACTTTTATTATGAATATATTTATCGAAATTGTGAAAAAACACTCGTCATAACGTCTTGCTGTCTGATTGTAGGTGGAACTGGATACCGATTATGCAAATCGTACTTGTGGACTTTGTGGAGACTTCAATGGTGTTTCTGTCCAGAATGAGTTCATTCATAAGGGTATATATGATTTTTCTGTTTATGTATTAGTGCAAGTCTACAGTCATCTGCTGTATCTTTGAATTCACACCACAATTACAATCAAATTCAGGTCGCAAAATCAGCCCAATTGAATTTGGCAACCAACACAAAGTCCATCGTCCAAACGATGATTGTGAGGACCCCTACGAAGAGGAGGAAGAATCACCAGAGGCTGCGCTGGATTCATGCAAGGAGTTTGTGAGTTTATTATCCACCTAGTGTCAGCAGAATATACACAGGTAGCATTTGCAACTGAGTAATCAAGTCTCTTTTTTTCACTTCTAGAAAACCACCTGTAGCAAGATGCTGCGTTCAGAGCCCTGGAGCTCCTGCACCAGGCTGATTGACCCTGAACCTTACATCCAGGCCTGTGTGCAGGACATGTGTGGCTGCAGCAACCGTACAAATGACTTCTGTGTCTGCAGCACGCTGTCTGAGTTCTCTCGGCAGTGTTCCCATGCAGGAGAGCAGCCTCCCAACTGGAGGACACCTCAGTTCTGTGGTAACGTTCTTTTCTGCTTCATAATCATCTTTTTATTTTATAAAGTACAGGGTGGAGAGAGTACTAAAGCAGTGGAATCAATAAAAGGACATAATTTCAATTGTTCTTTGAAAAAAAGACAAAAATAAAAGACATATAAAGTGGCATACAGAAAAGCCCAATATGTCTATTTTTCTGTCTGACTTAAATCGTAATTAATATGATTTAAATTGTAACAAAAAATACATTAGTGTAGTTACATAACGTAACTCTGCACGCAGAGCTCAGACCATTGCACAGGACCCTAGTCACCCCCTCAACCCATGTTTCACACTGCTTCCTTCTGGACACCGGTACAGGACACTACCCTGGAAAAAAAAAAAATCAGATTCAACAGCAGCTTTGTCCCCAAGGCCATCACAGAACTAAACAAAACTCTAAAACGGCAGTGACGTGTGAATGTGTAAATGTGTCTGTGTTATACTGTATGTGTTTGAGAATCCATGTATGTGTGGCAAATGTATGTTGTGTCTGTGGGGTATGTGTATATGTCGGGTTGGCACTCAAGATGTATGGAAGCGTGAAGAAAATTTTCCTAATAGGACAAATAAACTAATCTAATCTAATCTAATCTAAGTGCAGGTAAAATAAACACAGAAAAAAAATCCTTTACTGTTACACTTAAGGTGAAATATTATTTACGTTACTTCCACTCTTGATAAATTATTGAATAAATTACATAAACTCATGTCTGCCTCAGTAAACTTCAGTTTTACCCTGTGTTCACAGCTAAACAGTGCCCATTCAACATGGTTTATGAGGAGAGCGGTTTCCCTTGCATGGATACATGCTCACTTCTAGACACAAGCTCACTGTGTGAGGACCACAAAATGGATGGCTGCTTTTGTCCCACTGGTTAGTGCTGTTCACGCATTGCACTTTTTATTTAAAATTCTTACAGATTTCATCTTCCTGGTCTGTGAATGATGTGTGTCTTTTTCAGGAACTGTGTTTGATGATATTTCCATGAGAGGGTGCATTGCTCAATCTGAATGTCAGTGCAAGCACAAGAAAATCTACAACGCCGGAGAGGTTTACCGACAGGACAGAGAGGAATGGTGTGTCAAATGTTTCATGAACATAATATTTCATCTTGTCTCCTTAATTGTGTTTTTTTTTATTATTTGTTAACTTTATTTATTTGGCTTGTTTCAGTACATGTGTCATGGGTAGATGGGCTTGTAAGAACCTTCAACCACCTGCTACATGTGCAGTTGAAGAGGGTTCACATGTCACTACCTTTGACGGGAAAACCTACAACTTCCATGGAAACTGTTACTACACCCTGGCCAAAGTGGAAAGCAAGGTGAATGAGGCGTAGCTTTGTACAATTAAATGGCAGAATATATATAATCAGCTGATGTAAAAAGAAATATTATTTATTATTTATTTAACTGCTCTTACTCTGTTTATTTTAGAATAGTGCAAGTCCGAAGTTTACCATCCTGGCTCAGCTGGTGCCATGTGCAAATCAAGAGTTTGACACTTGTCTGAAGAGCATTAAAATCCTGCTGAACAATGACAGAAACAATGTGAGTTAACGTCAGTCAGTGAAGATGACTGTAGTCATTTATAACTTCACACTGATAGCGACACTCAGATGATTGATTCTGTTTTTATTCAGGTGTTAATGTTCACGTCTGACGGCACAGTGAAGCAGAACATGCAGACCATCAGTTTGCCGTACCACTCAAGTGAGTCACACAATTAGAAACATGATGAAAAACATTACTCTCGTCTTTCATTCATGAAATGACATCAGCAAATGATCTGACTGTTATTTTTTGTATTTGTCTTTATCAAAAGGTGACATCAACATATTCCATGCTTCATCCTTTCACATCATGCTCCAGACTCGTTTCGGTCTGCAAATTCAGATCCAGCATGTTCCCATCATGCAAGTCTACATCAGCCTGGAACACAGCTACAAAGCAAAGACACGTGGTAAGTTAATGTCTTCCTAAGATATTTTTTTGGGCATTTTTTAGCCTTTAATGGATAGGACAGACAAGTGTGAAGGGGGAGAGAGAGAGAGGGAGTGATATGCAGCAAAGGGCCACAGGCTGGAGTCGAACCCTGGCTGCTGCGGCAACAGCCTTGTACACGGGGCACCTGCTCTACCACTAAGCCACTGACGCCCCGGTAAGTTAATGTCTTAACATGAAGCATGTGGCATCAGTGAAATCTATGTCAGATACAGTACAGTTACGTAACAAATAAATGAAACACTGACGATACTTGTTGGCCGCGTAGTGCTGAACAGGTGGACGCACATGTATATGATGATAAGAGCTGTACCAAATATCATTTTATTCATATTTAAAGCTTTTATTAAGGTTTTCAAATGAAGCTTTGAATGTTTGTCATCATATTTTATAACATCATCAACTGAAAAAAAAAGTTCTCAAACAAAATCTTCAATTTGAATTAAGTGATTCATCTGATAAAGTAAGTTTGTCTTTTTTTAGTAAATCAAATTTCTTTAATGAATAACTGTACTTCATGGGGCTTTTCAATCGCTTTCTGATGTACTTTTCTTTTTTGCTGCAGTGAAAATTCTGTTTTTGAAAGTCTTAACACAACTCCAGCAAATATTGATCAAAGCAGAAAATTGAATCAGTTAAAGATATGTTGTGAATTTTGGAAATAATTACATCTATTTTTCAATAAATTTTGACTTTACAATACTCTGGAGTTATTGTAAATATTTAGATCACATGAGTTGAAAACAGTCCTACGCAGCTACTACTTACATCTAATTCTACAAATAATAAAACACTAATAACTAATATGTAGCTGAATCTGCAGAAATATGGGCTTTTAACAAAATGAATAGACATACAAAAAGAAGCTGTGCAGCATTAGAAAGTTGATTTAAAATTTGAATGTCAACATTATCAGTATAGCTTCAAAGCTTTATTTGGTGCTGCCCAAATGATTATTTTTGATAATACTTTTTTTAATTGATATTTTTTATTTATTAAACTAATCATTTCACAATAAGAAAAAATC